CGAGCCAGAACGAGGCCGGCTGGGGCCTGCGTCATCCCGCCGCCGTGCGTGCTCTGGTCCCGCCCCGGCGCCGGGAGGCCAAGGCCGAGCAGGCGGCGCAGCTGGGGGCCTCCCCCTTCCCGCAGCTGTCGTGGGGCTGCGTCGGTTTCTGCTCACCTCTGACGGTTTGGCTCGGTACCTGACTCAAACCTGTCTGGGGTCTCCGGCGCCTCTCCACACGCACTGCTCCCGCGCCGTTTGAGTCTCAGCTCATACCTGCGCACTGTTGGCAGCTTCTCACCACCCTCTGCCACATGATCTATTTATAAACCCATATCTGAATGGATTAGTTCCTTGGTTAAAATGTTAAATGGTTCCCCTTTATCCCTTCAGAGTAAAGTCCAAGCTCATGAACGAACCCTTCCTACCTCTCCAATCACTTCCTTATCCTACATCACAGCCAGAGAGATTCTTCTTTCAACTTATGTCTAACATTGTTCCTTTCTTTTTCCATTCCAACCACTATAGTCCAGCACCATCATCTCTTGCCCAGACTGCCACAGTAGACTCCCAGCTGTTCTCCGTGTATTCATCATTGCCCCCATCTATTTGCACAGTTAACAGAGTCACTTTTGTTTTGTATTTTTGGAGGCTGGATGGTATGGGGATCCAGACCCTTGCTCGGTGTTATCAACCAAATTGAGCTAACCGGCCAGCCCAACAGTTATCTTTTTGGGGGGAGGAGGGGGGACTGGCCGGTGTGTGGATCCGAACCTTGACCTTGGTGTTATCAGCACCATGCTCTAAGCAAGTGAGCTAACTGGCCAGCCCAGAGTTATGTGTTTAAAATATAAGTCTGGGCTGGCCAGTTAGCTCATTTTGGAGAGCATGGTGCTGATAAAATGAAAATCTGATCATGTCATTCTCCCGTTTAAAACTTTCACTGGCTTCCCAATACTGTCCTTAAAACAATCCTTAAATGGTTTATGAATCAATGTCTTTAATCTCTTTAGCAGCGTTGTCCCCTCCTTCACAAATTCTATAACTCGAGGCTGTCTAAAGTGCTTTTAGTTATCTCCAAGACTGTTCCCTCTGGCTGAGGACTTTGCCCAAATTGTTTCTCTGACAAAAACCCACTTCTTCCCACTCCTGACCTTCTACCTCTCATCATATTTATTCCCACTTCCTGGACTCAACTTTATTTCCCCTGGGAAACCTCTACTGACTCTCCAGTCTGGGTTAGTCCCCTCCTCTGTACTCTCAGAACCTGAGCTTTTCTCTGTCACAGCTTGATCAGGCTGAATCATCTGTCCCTCCCCTGTGCAAGGTCTGGCACATTGCCTAAGGTAAAGTAGGCTCTCTTCTTGGTTGAATGAACAAACTGCTCAGACAACATATGCAAAAGAAGGAAACAAGAAAGATGAGAGTGCTCCTGATAGTCATTCATTCAACAGGAATAAAAGACGTGGATCTTGACTCCCTTTCTTTTATTCACTATTTACTGATTTTTATGTGTGTATGTGTGTGCCAGACCCTATGCTAAGCACTAGGAAAACGAATTGATCAGAACTGGCTTATTCCTGACGGAGCCCAGAATCCAACAGGGAAGACAAGTAAACAGATGAGTCCTTCCCAATCCCTCCCCACCCCCCAGGGTTTTTAGAGGACCTAGAAGAGAGTGATTAGTTCCTTTGGGTAGGGATCAGAAAGGATTCTTGAAGGTAGAACTGTGTTAAACCAGTATGGGCCTGGGCACTCTTATTTTGGAGTCCCTATCCTACAAAATTACTATCTTATTGAAATGCATTCAAATTCCATATTAAATGAAACCTTTTTGCTGTAAAAATTTTGAAAAGACTTTAATTTTGCTTTTGAAGTTGGGCTTCCAAGAACTAATTCAATTTATGATTGGCTAAATTTTCCAGAAATCAGAGGTACTCTGGAATTTTTGCAAAGTGAGAAAATTTAGCCCACAAATTATTTTCACATCAAGTGAAATTTTCAAAAAATAATAAGCTTAGCATATTATATAACAGTGCTAGAATTTGTAGGCATAGATTTTTTGGTTTTTTTTTCATACTTTTCTTTCCACCAGTGTGTAACACGAGTTCATAAACCCTTGAAAAGTTCTGTGATGCCTTATGAAAAGAAATGATGTTGCTGAGTCTAAAACTAGTTAGGTTGCTTGCCAGAGGATGGGAGGAAGATTTGAGGCCCAGTAATGGGTTAGACATGGTCCCTATCCTCAAATAGCTAAAAGCCTAGTGGGGGAGACAAACAGGTGAACAGACAGTTAGCAGGACTACAGTGTAGACCTTTATCCTTATTCTACTTTTTTCTTATTTTTGCTCTCAGAAGCATATCTATATCACCACCTCACAAATGTACAGCCTTAGACCCTTATGTCTGGTGAGAGAACAACTGCTGCACGTTCCTCTGAGCTCAGATCTACCACATAAGTTAGGGGACAATATTGAAATATCTGTTCCCCTCTCATCTGACAGAAATTCAAGTCAGTTGTAAATCACTTTTTAAGTAGTCACAGAGAGTATGACTCTGTAACAGCACCTTCGGAGACATCCCACATGTGAAGAGAAGGTATGAAAATGATATTTTAGAAAAGGTAGGTAGTTATTGGCCATTATTTCCTTAGCGATGGATAAAGTTCCAGCTATAATTTTAACATAGTTTTAAAAAAATGATAAGAATGGTCTTGATGATAACGAATAAGATTATAATACTATAATAAAAATTGTGTCTGTCACTTAAGTGCTAAGCACTATCCTAACTGCTTTACTTCTATTCATTTAATGCTAGGAATTAAATACAGAGTGAATAGGCCTAACACAAAATCTCGGCTTTTGTGGATAATCACAAGCTAATCAGATGTGAACATAACATTGCCTTTGGCCCAATCTGAATAATAACCATTATGGCAAACACTTATAAAACGCATTCTGTATGACAGCCCCTGTTTTATCTTCATTTCTTTCTCTTTGCTTTTTTTTTTTTTTTTGCCAGTTGGCTGGTTTGGAGATCCAAACCCTTGACCTTGGTGTTATCAGCACCACACTCTCCCAAGTGAGCTAACTGGCAAGCTCTATCTGAATTCGATGCTCACAACTCTATGAAGTGGACACTACTAAAATCCCCATATTACAGATGATATAAGATATAAACAGAGTGGAGTTGGGTCATACTAGCTCATAAGAGCCAATTGTTAAAATTTCAGGAATTGTGTGATCCACTTGTTAAATACAGCCATTATTAAAAATTAAATTATTTCTGTGTGATATTTTCACTGAAAAAATTAAATTATATAAACTTACAATAAATTAGCATATTGAAAACAAAAATAATAAATACATGTCCTAATTATTTTACTACATTTTATTATTATTTGTGTTATTGAGGTTATTTACCACTATTGTATCTCTGTGACAGAAATACTTTATAATGTCAGGCTGCTGAGGCAGTCTCTTCCTAATATGACAATTTCGTGTCAAACTATTTAACCTAAATAAAATATCAACCAACATTCATGTCTTAACTACATTTGTTTTTCAATTGCAACCTTAGGCTAGCTACAGATATGAGTTTGGCAAAAAGCAGTGAAAGCATTATGATGTGAGATCAATTAGCTGTATGAAATTTACAGCAAGCAGTATGTACATTTTATAATTATCTGTAAATTGTATACTACACATCCTTTATATCAGTAAAACTTATCATAAATTATGTACATATGTGCATAATTTCCCCCAGAGAGCCAGTTGTTAAACATTAGTAACCTACCACTGGATATATGGGTGTGGTAGATATACCTATATATGTTTTGGGGTGCCTGTTGCCTCATGCCCTCTTCTTCAGTACTTGCCTTTCTTCTCACTAATAGTGCCCATCTAAGCACGTATATCCTTAATGCCATGTTTGTATTAGAATCTTTCACACATCCCCAAGAATCATTGCTTAATTCTCTAGCGCAGGATGGCAAAATTATTGGATTCTTTGGGATGAAAGATCCCCTAGTCTGGAACAGTGAACCTATTGGATCCTTTTGGAGGAAAATTTCAGGTATTTGCCCCTTTCTCCCATTGCCATATTCCTTGTCACCTTTGTACTATTCCAACAGCTTCCTAATGATGCCCTTGCCTCTGTGCCATCAATCCATTCTCCACACCACTACCGTGAAAAATGTGATCAGAGAGCATTCATAGACTTGTGATTCAGAAAAACCATGTTAGCATGGCATTAAGGTCTTGCACCATTTGGTCCCATTCTTATCACCATATGACTCCAACTCCAACCAGGCATCCTACACTCCAGCAATATCACACTGCTTGCCGTGCCCTCAGTTTTCACACCTCTGCCCTTTGGCCATGCTGTTGCCTTCTGTTAAAAATCTAACTCTGTGTGTGTGTGTGTGTTTAGCTGGCTGGCACAGGGCTGGAACCCTGGACCTTAGCATTATCAGCATCATGCTCTAACCAACTGAGCTAACTAGCCAGCCCAAAGTTCAACATCTTTTAAGACCCTCCTTAAATACCACTTTCTTTATGAAG